GCTGCTGTTTTTCTTTTTCAGCATGACTCCAATTTTAACCACGCAAAAGCAATCCGGGGAATTATTCTTGTTGCACTTCCGTGTTTTTTAATGTATGGGTTTTGGAAAACAATGGTAACGATTTGGTTTTAAACGTACCTCTTATTATATAAAGTAAGTTCTAGACTTCGTTGTTGTCAGTCCACCGTCAATGAATATACAGGCGGGAGCTCACATTTCAAGCTAAAAGAGTTTCATTTTACCCTTCTCCTGTGCCATAAACTTGTACTAGTAGCTCAAATATTAAATGTGTTTGCTATTTGAGGTCATTTAATTTTATGGGTTTCTAAAATTTGAAAAACAACATTCTGTTGTTACATGTATTATTGTTTTTCTTGGAGTTGCCAATTTTGGGTGCAACATTTTCCGTCCCTCAAATGAGTCTTCATATGGTTAGGGTCCATACTGCTGTTAGGACAATAGTACATCCGGAATGGGTCAAACCTTGAAATGCTCACATTCTCAAAATGTAAAAAAAAAAAAAAAAAAAAAAAATGCCAATGCCCTAGACGGCGGTAATTTACAATTACTCCAAACCCACCGCAGGCTCCAACTGTGTTTCTCTGTCCAATGGCTAGATCGATAAGGCTTTGAACATAAATAGTACAAACGACACTAAATTAAAACAACGGTCTGCCCGATTGTTCAATGGTCAAATTTAACCACAAATTGGTTTGACCCTCTCTCTGCCCGGAAACTGGTTCGCAAAGGTCTTTAAACAGCAGTTTTAACAGCATTAATGGTGAGACAGCTGAAGAGACAAAATGCTTTTAAACAATTACATGATCAGTTGGACTTTCATTAAATTCGCCGACAAATGAAAAATAGCTTTGCCTAAATTTCGTACACAGTAGTAGTAGTAGTAGTGGTATAAATGATAAATGCGTGAAATACGGTAAGTCATGTTGCTACTAGGGCGGTAATATAAAAGTACCTGCGACCTTGGTTGAACATGAACGGCCAGTAAATAAGACGGTGCTTAAAAAAACATTGTATTGCTAACCACAAAGTTAGGTACCTCATATTTTACTTAAAGACATGCGACTTTACAATCTTCATAAGTGTCGTTCGCATCATTTCTTCTTTTCATTTTTCTTTTGATTTTCATTGATTTTCTTTTATTGAAGGTAACCTTTATTTATATCACTGCTTTCGGTGTTAGAGTGGGAATCATCCGGCCTTAAACTGCGTGCAAAAATCAGTGCGCGTTGAGGCTCACTTTTACTGTAAAGGCAACACGCGAAACATGATGAAAAAGCAATAAATATCCGTGGATAAACCCTTTCAGCTTTTATGGTTTGCCCCCGATGTGGACTCGATGGTTTACCATTATTTCTAATCCCACTCTTTTCCATATCCCGTGAAATCCCCAAGGTTATCGAAGGTGACATGGGGTATAAAAAACGAAAGACAGTTCAATATTGAAATTTAAACTGTGAATGTCTCCTTCTGTCATGTGTTCAGTATGGATGAATGGAAGAATAACTTTATTCAGTTTTGGACCACATGGTTGAACGATGAGCGCTGTGTGGTAGCAATTTGTCAAGACAAAGAAGTATTTTTTGAACAGCTTATATTGAAAATGCAGTATACCTCCAATGTTCGGTGACGATCTAGAGGATCATCATCAGGGAATGAACCTGTTCTGAGAAAGGCGGTCAGAATCAGCACCGAACTATTGGAGGAGAGGTAAAATAAAAATTATGGCTTCCCTCTGTTTGTTTTCCACTTAAATTTCACAAATGGCCACTTTAAGCTGTAACGTACAAAGAAGCGGTTAATTATGGATGTTATGATTTTAAGTCAAAAAGAGCTTGAAGCCCACCTGTGCTTTGATATAACCAAAATATTTCATTTTTGACCAAGTTACAGATCAGTAAATCACTTCTCACCTTTTTCTTTGACAGATGCAAAGTTGAAGTACAGTGCGCCTCAGAGACGTTAAAGTACACGTTAACCCTTTCATTTACACTTATTGTCACGTAAGCCCCTACACGTACAGTGTACACACGACCGGTTGGGTCACGTATTCCCGAACATGGAATCCCAGCAGGACGTTTAGAGTTGCAGAGTGCATTTAAGTCAGAAATACTGTAACTGCGTATGGATACATAACAACCGGTTTGCTCAAAGGCGGAAGGCGAGAACTTAGTTCTGTACATAAACTGTACAATAAATGTACCCAGTTTTGGTGTTTCTGTCGTGTGACATGTCAGAGTTCAAACATTTCGGCTTCATTTATTTAAACATATTTTGAATACACCGTATGTATTCAATTATTTATAGTCGAGAACACACGGGTGTGGGGTTATTTTTGGTAACGTGTATTGATCAAGATGGTGAAAAAAGAAAACTTAAAACTCATTTAGAAATATAAGCTGCAGTAACAGTCACTACACAGATAAAAAACCCAGTCACTGGAAAAAAATGTTCATCCACATCCGAACATTTGTTCAGTGTCAAAGGCTCTCACAGGGAATACAATGGCGAGAAATGAGGAAAATGCGTTTGAATATACACGGTGATGTTATAGTCGATATAAAGATTTGATCATTGAAAATACATTAAAAGATGATCTCGATAAACTTTTCTCTCACTGTTAGTTGTAACTTCCATTGTTCCAGTTAAAAAAAGAACTATCCGTCTAAACATTAGCTATTCCTAAAATCTTACAAACAATGCGCCATATTTCACTACCGCACCTCTATCTTGGACAAAAATTAGATTAATTATACTGATTTAAACACCTATTTCAGTATTAAGTATTTTTTTAACTTCGGATAAAATATAAGGGAACAGTTCACCTGTCCCGACCCGTCTGCTTACTATAAAAATGCGCATTCATGCATCATTAATAAGCGCAGGACGAGGGGGAGGGGAGGGAGCACTCCAGTGGTAATAATTTTTCTGAATGGTTCGGTCTTTGCTTTGCCTCCTACGCACCTGCTCAGTCACGATCACTGCCCACAAAGTGCCAGCCCACCTGTGTGTGTATATATATACATGTACAAACCAATCCCAGGCTCTTCAGCACGAACCGAGGGAAGTGTTCACTTGGTATAACTTTGTAGTCCTTCCAAAAGTACACACAAACCCGTATTCACTTCCTTCCGAGAGAGAGAGAGAGAGAGAGAGAGAGAGCGCGAAGCAAGCGCTCTGATAAATGGACC